GGAACAAATAGAAAGTGGCGAGCGGCCGGGCCCCCTCCCCGGGGGGGCTCCTGGCGGCGCGGGAGGGCGGGTGGGGGGCTCTGTGGGGGCCGAGGGGTCGCGGGGGGGTTTTGTTTGCGCTCGCCGCCGCCTCCCTCCCTTCCTCCCTCCCTCCCCCTCTCCTGTTGGCTTCTCTGCCTTCCGATAGTTTTGAGGCCTAACTGTTTAGGCCTCGTCTCCTGGCTCCGGGGCCGGTGTGTAGGCTCCGAACCACCCCCCGGGGCCGGGAACGGCGCCCCGACCCATCCCCCGGGCCGTAAGGGGCCCTCGGCCGCGGGGTTTCCCTCGATTGGGCCCCAAATTTCATTGTAAAATCGTCGGCTGCGAACTATCAGTGTTGGGCTGGAGCAGCCCCGCAATGAAAGGAGGCGCYGGAGGGGAGCGGAGGGGCCCGAGTCGCGGGGAGCGGCGGCGGGCCGGGCCTCACTCCCGCCGGGATGCGGCGGGGGCAGCGCTGGGGGGCGCGGCCGGCGGGGCGATAGCCGGGGCCTTCGGCGAATTGAGGGTGAGGAATGGAAAAAGAGGGTTAGAAAGTCGTTTCCATTCTGCTGAACTTTTGTTTTCTGACCGATAGAGGCCGGTAGAGGACTGTGGAGAAGGAAAGTTTATAACCAGCAGCGCCAGGATGGACTTCCCTGCTACCCAACCAAAACCTGCTGCCGACGGTAAAATCATCTACTACCCTCCTGGAGTGAAGGAGATTACGGATAAAATTACCAACGATGAGGTTGTTAAACGGTTAAAGGTGAGCAATTCTGACCACCAGCCCCTTCCCTGCAACTTTTGCTTGTAAAGGTAAACATTTTATCACTGGAATAGAGAACTGCCAGAGTTTCGTTGTTCTCCTTGCCTGCAGACCTCTATGGGAATATGACTTCGTTGCTTTTCATTAAAAGAGGAGGACTCACTTTTGTAATTCATGATGGCTCTCTAGTGAGTTCGTTCAATGCCAGAATTGATACATTAACTGCTAATTTGTACATGAAACAATATCCGCAGTTGAGAAGGAAGATCTGAAGTGGAGTGATAAGTAACAATTGCAGGATACTTTAGCAAATTTTTTTTGTCAAGCTGGGTGGTTTTTGTGGGTTCTGACAGTYTAAGAAAGTATAGTTGGGCAGGGAAAACAAGTAGATGTAGTAAAGGGTGTTCTTGATTGAAAAGAACACAATTTGAAAAAAAAAGCTTAAATTTTGGAGTTAATGAATGGAATTTTGAAATTGTTTCAAATGTGAAACTTGCCTCAGATTTTACAATTTAGGGTAATACATACCATTCCTTTCCCATTTAGTATAACTGATAAAATTGCTAACTTTTTAAAAACAAAAGGGATTGTTAGGAAAGTATCTTCTCTGCTTAAACGGCATCCTGRGGGACTGTAAATTGAAACTCTCTTTTTTAAATTTTGTTAATCCCTTTTTCCACTGGAAAACAATGAAATACTACTGTGATACAGTAGTATTATTTCTTAAGTTCATGCTGAAAATAGAGAATTAAGTTGAGCATTGATCAAATATTGACACAGCTCGTTTGTTAAAACCATGGTCTTTGGACCAAAGGTTTTTGTAACCTSGGATTTGGTCCAGGATGGAGAGGTAGTAATTATTTTTACTGATTGGAAATATTTTGTCATCTTATGATCCGTTTCCCATTACAGCAGTGACCCCACAAAGACTGAAAAATAGAAATCACGGTCTTGGCTAGTCAGTTAGTGCATTGAAAAGTTTTCTTAGCTATTAATGTGAAGAGAAYATGGGTTTTGTGCTTCGCTTTTTAAGCAGCAAGGCACATGTCAGTGGGTTTWTTTTGAAAATGAGCCTTATTGTCCATTTACAATTTTGAAAATTATTGAATGGACAAGTCCAGCCTAGTATTTTCAAAGCTACAGTGGAATATTTTCAGTTACAGGAGAAGATTCTGGAGTYGTGATTGTTTAGGCAGGTACTTTGGATCAAAGTCTGTGGAATGTAGAGGAATGCAGTTTTGAGGTGATCCTTGAAACAGGTATTTTATTTTGTCCCAGTTGGCGGACTTGGCATGGTGAGCTGTGTCATTCCTATATAACAGGAACAATAAAACTTCAAAATCATGTAAATATTTTGCTGAATTCACATGTGTGTATTAGACATAATTTTCAGGCTAAGAGCAGGCTTTTTGTTTCCTGTCATCTTTTAATGAGTTATTGATATAATATTCAGACAGCCAAAAGATTTAAGACTAATTTTAAATGGCAAAAAATACTTTTGCTTGTGCACCTATCACCACTGAAATTACAGAGAAAGTTTTTTCTTAGTGTATTGGTTCTATTTTACCCAAGTTAAAGCATTTTTTCCATCAGATATTCGCTTTACTGAAGCATCAAGAAAATGGGAAGTATTGTACATTCTAGAACAAACCAACTAATATTTTTCCTTTTATGAGTTTGTATAACATAAATGTTCCTTATGAAGTCCATGTTTCTTTATATCAATGTAGTTTATGAAAGCAAATTSATTTTGGCATGTAGAACATTATAATGTGCTTGGGATGGAAGTGCTTGAAAAAGTTTTGTTCAATTTCTTCAAATTTTCTTCAAAAGATAGCTTTCCAGAACTTTAAATATGACTTAATGATAAAAGCCAGCTTTAGCAGAATGTACAAACTCAGGCATGAATCAGTTCTTGAAACTGTAGATTTTTTTTTTTGTCTTCTTGGTCATGCATCAGCCTAAGATGTTCTTAAGAAGATGTTTCTTACAGAAAGTGCATGTGCAACTTAGTGTTTTGGCCACCAGACTGTGGGTCAGTTCCTGCAAATTTTTTTGCTTTTAGCTTTTTGAAGTCATGGTCAACTTAATTGGTTACAAATTTGTGTCCTTATTAGCAAATTTTCTGATATCGCATCTGTATTTTTGTGTCCAGATCTCTTCTCCTAATGAAAGCTGTTCTTATTATTGGAACTCGAGACATTCTGGGCACCTGTCCCAGAGTGCCTGAGCAGCAAATTTTGTGCCAAAGACTTTTTAAAAGAATGTTTTCATATCCTTTCCCTCCTTCTACTTGGTGTTATGGGTAATAAAATGTAGGCCARATACTTAGGAAGTGTTTTATCTGTATGATAACTTTATCACTGTCCTGAAAATGTAAATATTGAGAATTTAAAAATTAACAAGCATCTTTTGAGGGATGTATAAAGGAAATGCCTCAGGATTGCATATGTATGGTAAATGAAACACAAGTTCAGGTGCTTAATGGAGTCAAAGGTAGCTTCTGGTGYGTTAGAATGCACCAAACCATCAGTATAATCCTTGAGTGGGACTGTATGTGATGTATAATTTCAGCTGTAGACGTGATTTTAACTGGTGCGCTGTGCCTGGGGTCAAGTATTCGTTCAATAGATCTAATTAAATTTAACCAGACTAGGCAGCTAGCATGTAGCYGTGTTGAGCTTTGCTGTATTTTTGACTACAAAATACTTTTTTTTTTTTTTCTTAGGTCAGTCTTTGTCTTTGCAGGGCAGATGTTCAAGATAGGTAGTTTGATTTGGTTTCAGGGCTGCAAGTCAGATGCTTGGCAATTTGGGTAAGGGTTGTGAAGAGGGGTGGTAACTTTGGCTTAGATAAATGATAGAATGAACCGAAAAGAAACAGTTCTAATACAAAATAGCCCTCCTTCAGTTCCAGAATCTTGCCAGAAACTAAATAAAACTTGAGAGCAATTGTGTTAGCAATGTTATGTTTCTTTCCATAAGATAGTTGAAGGTTGAAAGAAGTTTTAGAAACTTGGCATCTGCGGAGCTTCTTTATGACTATTGAATTTTTTCAAAATTGATTGTATTTTACTGCCTTGTTAAACTCCAGACTTGTATACTGCTGTCAGTAAACTATTAAATATCAGATGTAACGTTGATCACAAGAGAATATTTAAATGTTATGTATATAAAACATTTTAGTCATTATGAATAAGATTAATAGTAGTGCACTTAATTGTCAGATATATTACAAGCAACCCCATCAATCCAAAATGCATAGGGACTGATTTTCTCAGTGGCTGAAGTAAACAGCCCTTACAGGCAAAGCCACAACTGCCACCAGAATATATGGGGCTCTCATGTGCTCGTCCCAGCCTCTGTTCTGAATCCTCTTTACCAGCATTTTGTTTTGCTGCGTGCCAAAATGTAAGGGGTTTGACAGATCCGGGTTAAAACTTAGCAGGGAAAAAAACCCAAATCAACCAACAACAGAGCACCCACCCCCCACAACTATTTTAGTTTTAACCTGAACTATTTTCTTGTGTAATTTATCATGAAATCTATTTACAAATTATTGGGCTGGCATAGGGGAAAAAACAACTTCTTTTTGTGATGGTCCTACGTTAGAATATTGAAGGAATTTCAGAGTCGATTTGAATGTGGAAGTTAGCAAATGTTTTCTATTGAGATAGAGATGGGAACATTTACATTGTTTCTGTAAACTATCACTAGGGTTTTTAAAAGAAATAAAGCATGATGATGAGTTCAGATACAACTTTGTACTAAAAA